AAAAAAAAAAAATCAGTTGTAGTCCATAACTTTATAGGACCTGAATCATGAGAATTCAGAAGTGATCCTTGGGCCTCTCTGTTTACTAAATAATACTACCTCTTATTTTAAAACGACACCTAATAAAAATAGGAGGTTGTATATAATATAAAACGATGAAAAGTATAAAGAAAAATCATTTGATTGATATTCGCTCGCGCTTGATCTTTGTGGATCGTTTTGGGGATTTGCAAAATGGGAAAGAGTTCCCCCAAATCGTTTTAGTTATTTCATGATTACAGTCGTCGCTAATAAAGCCACGCTGAAGTTTGATTTTCTAAAGGAGGGAACTTTAATTGTGTTGGAATTCATGATTTCGTGGGCCTCGTCTAATCAATACCACGATGATACAATCTTCAATTAAACATTATTATTATGATTACATTATTATTATTATTATTATTATTATTATTATTATTATTATTATTATTATTATTATTAGTGATACCTCAAAAGGATAATAATTATAAAAGTCTGACGTCCTCTGTAGACTTGTAAACAAAGCAAATTATTTTTTATTCGAATTCGATATTCGTAATTCGAATTCGTATAATGTATTATATTCGAAAAGTTAAACGAATTCGAATTTCAATTTGCAGATATTCGATTCGAAATTATCAAATAATTGATTCGTTAACGATATAAATTTTATAAATTATATAGTATGTATTTTGTTTATATATATATATTCATAATATTTTTAAGACATAAAAAGAACTAAATATCTCAAATTAACAAATTTTCCTAAAAATTTTGAAATGGATAGGAAAAACATAAGCAATATTTTTTGAAATTGAAATATATAAAAATTATTATATTATTTCCGAAAACGAATTTTGAACCAAATCGAATATGTTCACAAATATTCTGAACGAATCGAATGCGGATAAAAAAATTGAGTTCGAATACAAAACAAATACGAATGTGAATCTTCGAATATTTTAACGAATCCGAATAGAATATCTAAGTATTCGATTTGATTGATTCGTTTACAACTCTAGTCAACTGGACTTCAAGATCCAAGTAGAAGAGAAAGGCAACGGAGAAGAAGGTCGAACAAAAAAATATCGGGCCATTTAAGAATATTGGAAGGCATGTCTTAATGAAAATGAGCCCCATTGTGGCATATAAATACAAGGTGCCACTCTGCAATTTGGCAAGAAAGCCGTAGAAGAATAAACCTTGGTCTATACGACCTAATAGACAATAGGAGAGGATGGCAAAGACAAAGAGATGGTGGACAATGTTGGGCCCTAATTGGTTAATGGGAACCCCAAACACTTACAAAGCTTGAGCTGAGAGGGGTTAAGGTTGATTCAAAGAACTAGTCGTATTTGGTCCTCAAAGAAGGTGTAGCAGCCAGTAGGAGGATGGGCATAATCGTCCATGGGTCGAGGCGAAGCGTAGCGCCAGTCAGAAGGAAGACCACTCCAAAGAAAGAAGTGGTCGATTTCGTCTTCGGACATACTAAGGAAGGCGTTGGGTGGTCGAGCGACAGTGACCATATTTTCAGTGGTTAAGGGTGTAGCCCCAGGTATAGGCATGCCCATAAGAATGGCAACAGCCGGCCTAATGGGGGAAGAAGGAAGAGAAGTGGCTTTTTCGGCTTCAGATCAGTCCCGTCGCAATGTTTCAAAGGGCGACGAGGAGGACGAGAAGTGGCAGAGAATAGATCAACCCGAGAAGTAGTAGGGACAATTTTGACCTCATTAGAAGGAGATGTCGAAGGAGAGAACTGTGAAGTAGGAGAATGGGAAGAAGGTGGGTGACTTATATCATGACCAGAGCGGCAGTCGCCCTCACTTGAAGTCGCGGAAAATAGACAAAAAAAAAAGAGAACGAAAGAAAAGAAAAATTCAAAAATTTGGAAGAAATTTGGGGATGGCAAAAGAATGGCGATATGTTCGAGATAGAACATCAAAGACAAATCAAAGAGAAAGATGGACACATCCGAACATTCAAATCATAATTAAAGGTAGGGAAAGTGAAGAAGAACTTACGCATTGTCGCCGGCCGCTTGGAGGAAGATCCGGAGTATGACGAGTAATCAGAGAGACAGGAACTCGGGGAGCAATTAATTCTTTATCGAGCACAAATAAAAAGCACAGTGATTAAAGGAAAAAGCTTTGCGCAAAGGTGGAAAACTTAGAAACAAAGGAAGGGGAAGAGAAAAAGCTCGACCGCTAGACTTGAGTTAAATCGACGGTTTAGATTGAAAGGAGCAAGGGAAGAGATAGGTTGAGCTCGACCATCGGATCACATGTGAAACAGAAGGACGAGATGAATTGTACATTTAATGTGGCGTGTTGCGCAAGTTGGCACGGATGGCGAAGCGCCAAACGATGGGACGCTTGAACTGACTTAGGCACGTGGCGACAAATGGTTGGGCAAAGCGGATGCAGACGCGTGTCATCAGGGGCGAACACGTGGTGAGAGGTTTGAAATTCAAAAATTTAAAGAGAAAAAGACGCCTGGGAAAACCCAAATAAAGGATGACAATAGCCAATGAGCCGAAAAAGAGGTCGAAAAGAAAAACCCAATGCAAAAAAGCATACAAATTCATTCTTGGATCGAGTCATTATAACTCGACTAGAGTGGGGGTGGGGGAGGGACTAAATGATATGTGATAACCACACCATGTCAACTGGACCGAAAAGGCAACCAAATCGAACCCCCCTGGTCAACGAGTCGAAGGAAAAAAAGGGATTGCTCAAGTCAAAAGATCTTCTGGTCGAAGAAAGCATTGAAGACCAAGAGGTCGAAGGTTGTGGGAAGAGGCACCTAGTCGAATGATTGACCATATGGACAGGACAACAACATTCACTATCGAGGTCATTCCAGCTCGAGGTAATGGGGGTCAAGGGGCTATCTAATGAAGAAAACTTAGAGATAAGGAGGAATCTTAGTGTAATTAAACCCCTCGCATGGATAAAACCACGTGGCGCCACCCGAGTGGTCCACGCCTCATAACCGTCTCTGACAGCTCGGATGGCACTGACAACTTTGACAACCGAGACAGCTCACGGGCTCGCTATCGGGGAGCTCACTCGCCCGACTTGGAGCAGAAGATATCTTCTCCCTGTAAAAGGGAATGATGTATGACTAAAATCATATCACACTCTCTATTATACTATACAGATAGGGCTCATTCTCTTTGCATTTAATCTTCTACATCTACTCATTTAAGAATCGGAGGTTCTTCACCTGAGACTCCCTCTAATGTGAGAGTTTTGCAAGTTAAAGGATGCTCAACCGACAACCAGCTCAAGATTTAAGCGTCTCCATCCCATTTCAGTCGATCGGAGATTTTTTTCAATATCGTATTTGTATATGTGTAAATTAATTAATGGTTAGAATCTCAATGCCTTGGGGTGGGTACCCAATATTGGTACAATGCACAACGTAAAATAATATCATATCATACCATTACATTATACTCTACAATTATTGTACAATTCAAAACAAAATACAAAATAACATAAAATAATAGTGATAAGTGAAATAAACAAAAAGACACAAAAAGATGAGTCATCCCCAACCGTACCATCTCTCAATAAATTCCAGCGCGTGTGTCACACTTCCCTCTCACATGTCTTCTCTGACATAATACGATACATTTTGTACACATATACGCAATATTTATTTTTCTCTTTTTAATAAGGGAACAAAATTAAAATCTCGCGTTCTCGAAGCCGTGTAGATCGCTGACTCGATTGAGAGACTTGCGCATGATGGCCACTTTAGCCAGCCGCTCAGCCGCCTTCCAAGCCGACGTTGGCGTAAGCGGCTCAGCTTTCGCATCCGCCCTCTCGCCACCGTCGGTCGACCGGTTCAGCTCCGCCAGCTCAGCCTCCAGCCCGCGCACGAACTCCGAGCCAGAGCCCGACTGCAGAACCAGAGCCCGGGCGGAGGCTAGCATGCGGCGGGCGCCGACCATGTCACCCCTCTCGTCCATCCTCCTGCTCTCCGCGACGGCGCGTGTGCTCACGAAAAGGTACTTCATCCACTGTATATCGCGCGTGGAAGATCCGACGGCGCGTGGGAGAGAGCGCACCACCACTTTGTCGCATATGGTCTTGAGAGTTGACGGGTCTTTGTGGGAGCACCGAACGGTCAGGAGGCGATGGGCCCCGCCCAATGATGATGGGACTTTTAATTCTATAAGCAACTCTCTCTCCTCTTCCGGGTGGAGGTCCCCGACCCGGAACCACCCGGACCCGGATCCGATTAAAGCGGGCCTCCCCGCATAAGAGTAAACTGCCGATATCTCGCCGGGGGCCGATCCCGGCGCGAACCCTAATTGAATTCTGAGATCCTGAACGGCCACACCTATGCAGTCGGTGATACGCTTCCCGACGGTGTAGTCGGGCGGAGAGTTGAGGCACGCGCTCAGGTTGACGGAGTGGATGGGGATGTCCCCGTGTGAGAAGCGCGTGAATGTCACGATCTTCTCGCCGCGGCGGCCGTCGTTGAAAAGCATGATGCCGGCGGCGGCGTTCCTCTCGCGGCGGTCTTCGAGGACCTTGACGGCCTTCTTGACAGCGTCGCCGGAGCAGGGGTCGCCGGCGCCGTCTTCCAGCGCAACGACGGCGCCGATGATCTTCCGCGCGCACCTGCGGCCGGCGGCGGTCATCCTCCGGAGCGGCAGCAGCCGTTTCGAGGTGCTAGAGAAGGCAACGATGGAGAGGCGATCGGCGGCGGATAGGGACGACACCACCGTCTGCATAGCCCTCTTCATCAGCCGGAGCATGTCGGCGTTCATATTCCTGCTGACGTTGAGCACCGCCACCAAATCGACCGGCGGCCTCCGCATCGGTGCCGGTGGAGCCCTGATTTTGAGCATGACAGCGTGCGTCTCGCTCGTCTTCCCGACCGAAATCACCGCCGCTTCTGACAGCAGCGTCACATCAACGCTTTTCACCTTCGTATCATCGCCGGCGGGGAAGAATCCCGGGAACTCATCTTTTTCTTCTTCCGTCTCGTCGGACTCGAAAATGGGGTTGAAGCGGGCGCCGAAAGTCGGGGAAGAAAGTGGTTCATCGTCATTGTAAACCTTCAACACGCAGCGCTTATCGTTTTTCGAGCTCAAATCTCTGCAAATTGAATCTGAAGCCCGTTTACAGAGGTTGTTGGCGGTGAAGAGGTGCGTTTCCTTCCACGTGACGCCGCAGATGGGGCACGTGGGAGAAGGCCGCGCCGTGATGCACGGAAAGTGGAAGCCGTGGCCGCACTCCGCCGTGAATATCGCCGTCCCTTGCCCTGTTTTCATGCTCTGCAAGCATATTCCGCATCTACTCTGCTAACAAACAACACAGTTTTCACATAAAATAAAATAAATTTATCATTAGGAAATGATGATTAAAACAGTACAAAACTAGCAAAAAAAAACTGAATTCCACTATTCAAAAGCGAAAAAAAAAAAAAAAAAAAAAAAAAAAAAAACAGCCCATCATTTAATTAGCCTACAATAATTAATACATAGATGATAGAACAAAGATTAAATAAAAAATAAAACCTACAATAATTAATACATAAAAAAAAAATTAAATAAAAATTAAACCTTTGAGAGGCGCAGGCTAGATTTGAGACGGGAAAAGGTAGAGAGGGAACGAGGTGAAGAAGGGGCCGAGCGGTGGAAAAATCTTGGGCTGCTTTTGGTTTTACATTTAAGTTTCGGGCTCTGCGGGCCCTCATCACCCGGCGCCGGCGGCGGCGTAGGAGCAGCGGACGCGGCGGTTCTGCAGCGGAGAGTGGGGCTCGTCACAGGGCGAGGGGTTGAAGGCTCGGAGAATAAGCCGCGGAGCCTGGTGGGTCGGATCCTGGGTCTCGGGTCGGGTTTCGGCGAGTCATCCTTTAAGATTGATGTGCAGAAAGCTCTCCGCCAACCCAAAACCATCTCGTTCTCCTTTTTATTTTTAATAAGTGATGGGTGAGAGGTAAAAGAGATTTTGTTGAGGAAAACAAAGGATATTAGATAGGGAAAATACAAAGGAAATAACGAAAAAAAAAGGTAGATAAAAATGAGAAGATCAAAAGTGGAATACAAAATCAAGACAAAAGAAGAAAAAAGAAGTCGATTTCGCCTTTTATTAATTTTTCGATCGCTCTGTAGTTGTTACTTTCCATTTACTATATTCAGTTGAAAGGGCACACAATTCACTGAAAAAAGATGGCTGTAAGAATTTCCACAAACACATGATACGTGACATTGCAGAGTTTTTTTTGTTTAATTTCTCGTGGAGCCTTTTTGGTACAAGTGGAGCCTTTTATATTTTTTTTTTTTTTTGGGTACATGGACTTTCTGGTTTCCGGATTCACAGGGGAATCGACTAATCTGGAATCGAACCGAGTAGGTCCACAAGGGCGGCAAATCTCTTAATTATAAGGGAATCAGTTTATTTTCTCGATGAGATATTTAAAAATCACATGTTATTGGGTTGTGAGTAATCAACATTAAATAATTATAATGGCAGATTGAAGTTCATTGAAGTCAATGGGTGCCGTCTTAAAGAACGAGGCACAAGGTATTTTTAATTGATAAAATAAATTGCTGAAAAAAAAGATGTTAGTTTTAAAATGTTAATAATATGAATTAATTTAACATAAAGAATAAATTCAAATAAATTCAGTTATATGTGAATGTGACGAATGATGATGATGATGATGATGATGATGATGATTGGATATAGTAAATATATAAATGGATGACTAGTAAATTTTATAGTAATGCTAGGGAGCCAACGGAGCCAACAGCCAATGGGACAGCTCCACGTGGGGATGTTCCACATTAGAGTCATGTGGGTCAGCCCCACATGAAGCTGTATAATTGGTTGTTGGCTCCGTAACGGAACCAACAGTTGGCTCCTTAGCATTACTGGTAAATTTTATATAAGGTAAAATTATACATCACAACACGACATTTTTTTATAAATTAGAAGAACCTTCTCTTAACTGACTATGATTTTTTAGTTGTTTGAGTAAGTAAATCACACAATCCTCTCATTTTGTGCCCTAATCCTCGCGTTGAGGGTTCAAATTCTCATATTTTTTAGTCGATTGAGTTCTCTTGGGTAGGGGATTTAGGTAAGTCAGTTTAGGTTTCGTCTCCTTCCTTAATCGTTTGTTTAGTCAAGGGTTGTGAGTTTTTTTCTTTTTGGAGTTTTAGTTGCTGTGACTGAGAGGGGGTTTCCTCTTTTGTTTCTTGTCATGGGTTTTTCTTGTTTGGCGCTGCAGGTTCTAGGATGGAATCAACGTCAACTAGGGACACTAGTTCAGGAAGGGTGGAAGAGGAGCTTTTTTGAAGTTGAAGAACATTGCCTTGTCACAATTTGAAAATAAAATAAATTAATTATAATTCTACGATATTAGATCAAGTGTGGAGGAATGCAGTTGTAATCTTCTGGGAAAAGTGGTGGGAGATCGAAAAGCTGGTCTATTTGGTCAATGCAGAACAATGTGCTAAATTTGGCAAACTTAGAAGCCAGTGGAGGCAAGAAAAATAGAATTACCTTCTTTCAGTTTATATTTGGTACACTGGCGAATAAGGAGAAGTTGGTCTCTGGAATGAACTTGATTTTCGAGAATCAATATTTAGTTATTCATAAATGGGAGGAAAGGTTAACTGCAAAACATAATTGTGAAATCATCATTTGGGTGCAGGTTCATAATGTTGCTCGCCATTAGCTAAATACGGAGTAGGACTGAAAATAGGTAGAATTTTTAAAAGAGTCAAGAATGTTGCGGCTCTGAATTTGGGGGAAAGCAGGGGCAACTGGATTTTTTAGAATCAATATTTAGTTCTTCATCACTGGGAGGATGGGTTAACTGCAAAACATTTGTGCTTTTAGAAATGTTAACAAGTCTTCTAGAAGGTCAACAAGTTGAAAGACTTATGGACTTATAGAATGTTAGTAAGGTGGAAAACATGAGGTATTCTATTTCTATTTAGAAAAGCCTATATTTAGCACCTCCTTAGGGTTCCTATTGTAACCTATGAATATACGAAACACCCAAGATGATAATTTTCACAAGTCCAGATCAGTTTTTACACGTCAAAATTAGATTTCCATATGTACAAATCATGTAGAAAATAGAGTTCTTCTCTTGAGAAAATTCGGATAAAACCGAGAGGTCTTAGGAAAAGAAAATCGAGAGGCTTTGGGAGTTTCAATTAATCGCTCCATCAAGATTGATTGGAGATGGTGTAAGGGTCTTGCAATAGAAGATTACAAGTTTATGCATTCTTATCCCAACGAATATATGTGTGTGTGTGTGTGTGTGTGTGTGTATGTGTGTGCGTATGTGTGTGTGTGTATCGATATTTACAACAACCCCACAGCACCTCAGATGCCCACGAAAATTGGAGAGGACGACACCAGAGGAAGCCCCATCCACCGGCGTGCCCAGGACCACCGGCCGAAGTCATATGCGCCAGTGTCGAAGCCTTACGAATCATCACGCGTCGCCCAAACACCGGCCGCACACGACATCGCACAACCCAGTCCAACCTATACACGACCAGACCCCGCCCAGCAAGCCTAGTTCGGCCCAGACACGACTAGACCCAACCCAACCAACCCAGTTCGGTCCAAAAGTCCCAATTCAAGCCCACGGCGAGAAGTCCGACTAATCCACTGATAAGTTAAAAATATGTCTCGATTTAGTTGATTAATTTAGGAATTATATTAACTATTTGAGTTCAATTGACATATGTTTGACATTATATTGTATTTTCGAGTTGAAACTACCGGTGTTTGAATATTTTTGTAAATTTAAGGCACTTTAACATGACAAATGGAAGATTCAACTTTGGAGCATATGAGAGTTCATTGTGCCTGGGAAGAGAAAACATGTATACCTAACATGGTCGTGTCGGTATTACAGTTCAAATGCAACATGGCCATGTTGGTTGATTTTGGACCCTATCTCTTATAATTGGGCCCATTAATTAAGTCACATGAGCAGTATAAATATGTTTAGCTGTAAGAAAAAGAGGGATTTGATCGCCGTAAGAAAAAGAGGGATTTGCTGGGAGCAGAAGGCATGCAATAACGCAGTAGAAGCAAGCAGCACGGGCTGCTCACCTTTACTCTATTTTCTTCCTTATTTTTTATTTTACTTTCTTTTGATTATGATAGCCCTGCGCGGCAATTTATCTGTCTCTGTTGAAGACGATTGAGACCCTGGACCTAATACTGTGAGATGGAATTAGCTTTTGTTCCAATTCATATATTTTTCGCATCAATGTTTCGTGTGCATATTTTTATGATTTCATGTTAGTTGATAGATTGGCCACCTGTTATTCTATGCATACGATCAATTGCTTTGTTCATACTTGAGTCGAATTTAGATCATGTGTCTTTAACTAGAAGCAACTAAGATAGATAATTGATCGGATTTAGGCGTTGTCGTTCTTAGGCAAAACAATTGAACAAGTTAATATTAAACGGATTAGTTATTTATTTTTTGGACTGTCGGTCTCAAGTACTTAATGCTATTGCTAGAATAATTCTTCACGATGTTGGGAATTGACTAGTCATAAGAGTCTCGTAGAAGGATTTATTTTGCGTGACTCAATTAGGAGATAAAATTTATATTCAATGGCAGCTGCG